AGGGTAGAGCAGGCGCAACAGAGGCTGCGCAGACCACGAGGCTTTAAATACTCACCAGCGGTGCCCTGTCCCTGTCCCCTTTGTAGAAAGTCTGCCCAACCCTGGCGCAGACATGGCGAAAGAGGCCAGTCTCGGCCCGTCTTGATGCAGACTTCCTTAGGAGGACGACACTACCATGCGCGAGATGTTGGCGTCAGCCTCTGGCCTCTGATGTCTTCTCGATCACCATCACCTTTGCTCCCCCTGCTCCCAGGCAGCCAGTGCTCCCGGGGCCCTCACCGGCGGCTCACAGCTCCTGCCTCTGGCCTGTGAGCACATACCTCTGTGACATTGAATGGTGCGCCTCGCAGCTTCACTGTGTGGGGGGTGGTGGGCTCGTTCTGGGTGGCTGGCTTCTGTGTCTGAGGAATTGCAGGGAACAGAGAGAGTGAGCTCCCGGTGCCAAGGCAGCAAGTGGACGGGGACATCTCAGGTCTGGAGGGTGTTGGGTCCCAGGGTGTGGGGAGGGCCAGAGGGTCAGGGAGGAGCTCTGGGATACAGTGACACTGCTGCCACTGAACGGGGACCTCCTGGTGCTGCACGCCGAGTCTAGGACTGTGCAGATGCCTGTTGCTGAACACGAAGGGTGACCGTTCACTGCCCTGACCAGCCCACATCCGCCCTGCAACTCAGGTGGCAGCCGCGTGCAGCAAACCAGGGGCAGACTATGGTTTGCCAGGCTTGGGGCTTCAGGGACCATGGGCAAACACAAGTATGGCCCTCCCTCTGTCCCTGTCCCCAGGAGGTGCAGCACCTCGGCTTTCCTGTCCTGAGGTCTCCCACGCCCAGGCAGGGCCCGCTGCCCCAGGCTTGTCCTCCCGCATTCTGTCTCCTGCTGGGCTGGCACGGCGGAGGCCTCCTCTTCCTCAGTCTCACTTTCCTCATCACAGTTCACAGCTTCATCTTCACTCTCCTCCTCTTCCTCATCTGAGGAAGAGGCCGAGTCAGCCTGCACCACTTTGGATTTCAGGTACTCCATGTCTGACAGCTCCTTGTGCGTGGCTGCCTTGGGCCCGAGGCCCTGTGCCTCTGGAAAAGCAGCAAAGCCAGGGTCAGCGACCTGTGCCAGCAAAGCAGAGACAGCAGGTGTGGCCCTTGGTGCCACACCCAGCACGACCAGGCCCTGTGCCCGACAGCTCCAGTGAGCCATAGGGTAAGGAGCACTGAGAGGGCAGGGAAAGCTACGGAGGCGCGGCTCCTTCACGTGTCTGACAGAGAGCACTGCGGCTCCCTCACCAGTCCTGCTGTCTCCTCTTAGCGTCACTGTGAAGCCATTTATTATTTTAAAGATAGGGCCTTCCTACTGAATCCAGGCTGGCCATGAACTTGCTACATAGCCTAGGCTGGCGTCAAACTCATGATCCTCCTGCCTCAGCCTCCTGAGTACAAGGGTTATAAGCACGTGGCACTGCGCCCAGCTCATTTTCATTTAAGCTCTTCCCACAACATGGTGGTATTAAAGTAGATACACACTACACACACACATACACACAGTAAAGTGCGTTCTGTAGTGGAGGCAATTAGCCCCCCACGCAGCAATCATTTCTGCCCTAGTGAGGGGCAACCTACATGCTCTGCAAAGTTCCAATGCACCAGTTCTAATGACGGCCCTCCCGTATGCCAGGCGGGACCCTGTTCATCTACTGACATACTGCTGTGGATCCTCTGCACGCAGTGCACTCTGCATAGGAAAAGGTGTATGGACACTGCTGCCCCCGAGGGAAGGGGTGGGGCCTGCACGGCTCTCGGGGCTGGGCCAGGCATTCCCTCAGCACTGCCCTGGCCTCCTCCTCACCCATCAGTGCCACCACGGTCTGGGGCCCTGGAGGGACACAGCTCCTGCTGTCCCCTGCCCTGGGAGCTGCCCACCTCGAGCCCTAGCTCCCCAGCCCTGCTGGATTTCTCTGAAACACTTGCCACAAGAGCACAGCTTCACCCGACACTACCCTGTGCTTTGCTCACTGCTGTCCCCAGGCCTGAAGCAGTGCCCGAGGGGCCAACCAACAGGGCAGAGGTCCCAGCAGGGGCTCACGATGCCATTGGGGTGCTCGAGGCAGTGTCAGCTGGCCTATCCCTGTGTGTAAGAGGGGACCGCAGCGGTGGGCAGGCACAAGCAGGGCACGTGCCCAGGCATCAGCATGGGTGGCCTCACCTTTGGGCTCCTGCCTGGCTGCCTTTGCCGCCTCCTCCTCCTCCTCCTCCTCCTCCTCCTCCTCCTCCTCCTCCTCCTCCTCGCTCTCCTGCCCAGAGTCCGAGTCAAAGTTCAGGTAGTCGTTGGCTGGCTTGCTCTTCCCTCTCGGGGGATCGGTGTCCAGTGCATCATTCGCCCATGTGGCCACCTGCGTCCTCTTCTGGTGAACTGACAGGAACTCCTGGAACTCTGTATCTTTCTTCAGCTGGTGGCACCGGGCGGGCAGCAGGGACGCAGGGAGGACAGAGAAGAGGCAGAGTGAGCGCAGGCGGGACTCGGCCTTCACCCAGTTACTCCCCACCCCTGGTGCACAAGCAAAGGCAGAGCGGATTGTGCTGGACGGGAGCCGGACGGGAGCCGGACGGGAGCTGGAAGCCGCAGACACAGGCGCTCTGCATCCCAGGCCAGCCCGCCCCTCGTGCACGGCACACACACCTTCTCCAGGTCACTAGGTTCCCGTTTCTTCTTGTCCTAAAAGCAGAAGGCACAGATGGCGGGGGTCACACAGGCCCAAGGGAACCGGACTGCCCTGCCGCGGGGAGGGGCCACCCTGCTGACACTGGGGACGGAAATGCAGCGACATCTGCATACTTTCTTAGTTTCTGGGCAAGCAGAGTCTTGCGACGACTTCTTGGGCTCGCTGGGTTTCTGGGCATGCTTGCTCCAGGCTCGGGGCTTTGTCGGGTCCCCAAAGGACTTGCAGAACTCCACCTGAAAGGGAAAAGGAGGTGCCTTTCACAGCTGTCATGGCAGCAGGGGGCTTGGACTTTATAGACTGGCAGTTGATGCTAACTTGAGTTAACTGGAGCAAATGAGGCGGTGTCACACAGCTAAGGCTAGTAAGTCACTTTTTAAGTCACTTCTGAGGAACCGACATGTGGTCACAGTCCTCAGTGCCTCGCGAGGCTGGCACCCTGGGCCTCCAATGGTGGGAGCTGCTCCTTCCCTGTCCCCACCAAGGCACAGAGACAGAAAGTAACTTTCTCCCAAGGGTGGCTGGGACAAGACCTGGCCGTGTGCTCAGCCAGGGGCTAATGCAGGCTGCCAGGTTATTCTAATCACCATAAGGCAAGCTCAGCTGGCATCAGAGGACAGTTCTAGGGTGACTGTGGGGGCTGGCAGAGCACTGAGTAGGACCTTTTAAAGGCAGCCCTTGGGAGGGGTGGTCCTGCCAGGAGCCCACAGCGGGCACAGCCATCCACCCCAGCCACTGAGTGACACCCCAGATGATGTTGGCTGGCCAGAGACTTCCCCAGGGTGGGACACTGCCATCCAGCCATGCTCCCTCTGTGTGGCCTTTCCGCCAAACTGGAAGGACGAGACCCGTTTCTGGCTCATAATCCCAACAATGGCAACGAGTATAAGGGGAGCTCCCAAAAACCTATCCAGTTCCTGCCACCGGGAGAGGTCACTGTAATGTGGCGACAGTCCTAGCAGCAGGCCCTCAACACACAGCCCCCACACACAGAGACCGAGGAGTATGGTAGTGCTACACGCAATCATAGGATGTATACTCCTCTGTTTCTGTTTTTTTTTTCTTGTCAACAAAGCATGAGAGAAGCCTCACTGTGTTGTTAAATGCGTGCATTCCTGACTCCTCCCTGACTGGGGGAGGGGGCTCGTTTCTCCCTGCTCCCTGCTCCCTGCCCCACCACAGCATGGACAGCGCCAGACGCAGGAAGCTGGCTAATGGTCCACACCCATGCTTCTCAAGGTGCAGTCCTTGCTTCACCTGACACTTTGTGAGACACGAGTGTCTTCCAGCCCCACCTCAGTGTGCTGATTCAGTCACCCCAGGGACATGCCCCGCAAACAGCTCTAACAATGGACAGGGAAGGCCAGCGAGACAGCTCAGCAGACTAAGCGCCCACTTAGGCAAGCACAGGGACCGGGGTTCAATCCCAGGCACCACATGTCACGCCGGCCTTGCCCTTGGGTATGCTGAGCCAGCCAATGAGACAGGCGTGGTGGTGCAGACCTGTAACCCAGCACTGGGGAGGCCAAAAATAGGAGGATCACAATCAGTCTGAGCTGCACAGTGAGACCCTCTACCAAATACACAATGCACGGGGAATCTCACGCACATGAAAGCATGGGACCTCAGTCTGAAGAGGGCAGAGTTGGGACCAAGTACCAAGGGACCAATCACTGGCTTACTCTGGACAGGCCACAGGGACAAGACTCTTGCCACCAGGACTCACCGTGATGCGCGCCGTGTCTACGAAGCTCTTGTTGAAATGGCTCAGGGCTCTCTGGGCCTCAGCCTCGGACTTGAAGCCGATGAAGCCAAATTTTCGGAACTTGCCATCCTTGGTGAACTTGAGGCTGCAGTCGGTCAGCGTGCCGAAGGCGGCAAACAGCTGCCGAAAGCGGTCCTCCTTCATCTGCAACAGAGCAGGACAACAGGGGAGGTGCTGGGTTGTCCCCAGGGCAAATGGACAAAGTGGGCTGAAAACCCTGACACCCCAGGGTGCTCCAAGGGTGACCTGAAGTGAGGAGGTGGCAGCGTGAGCTTTTCTGGTGTGACTTTTAGCCCTGTTATGTCAACTTCATTGGATTGAGATTAGCAAAGCATGTTCCTTGCTGTGTCCGGGAGGGCCACGGAAACACAACTTGGCTACCCTGGTTGTCCCTCGCTGTTGCTCTGCTTCCTGGCCACCATGAGCAGAACAGCTCTGCCGTCATGGCCCACAGCCATAGCTCTGTCCTGGAGCCAAGCATCCACGGACCATATCTCCTGGAGCCACGAGCTAAATTAAACCTTTCCTCCTTTAAGTTATTGGGCATTTCGTCTCAGGTACAAGCAAGCTGATCAACACAGGCCAGCTCCCAGCTATCACCCCACACTCAGTGCCTGTGTGCCGTGAGCAGGCTCCCACCCCCTTCCCCGAGGAGGAAATGGGGCTCTTCAGGGCTGCCCATGCCATTTTCCTACCCTCCAGGCTGCTTGGAGGCGAAGACCAACTGCGCAGTCAGCACTCGAGGTGCTACACAGCAGACAGCTGATGCGGGATAGTCAGAATAAGGGAATCTGAGACTATGGTGAGCCACATAAGAGTCTGCCACCTGGGGTCCCCCAAAGATGCCGCTGTCCTGACCCTGGGAGCCTGTGGTTACATCCTATTGCATGGCAAGAGAGATCTGGCAGATCTGGAGAAAAGTCTTGAGGTGGAGGCCATGATCTTGGATTTTCCAGGTGGGACTAATGTCATTATAAGAGACCTAGCAGGCTGGTGAGATAGCTCAGTAGACTAAGCGCCTGCTTAGGCAAGCGCAGGGACCAGGGTTCGATCTCCGGCACTACCGCACCGGCCCCACTCCCAGGTGCACTGAGCTGGCCAAGGAGACCAGGTGTGGTAGCGCACGCCTATAATCCCAGTGCTGGGGAGGCTGAAAGCAGGAGGATCACTAGAGTGTGAGCTACGTAGTGAGACTCTGTATCAAATACATAAACAAAAAAACACAAGAGTTCTAGCAAAGGCCGGTAGGAGGGTCAGGTTGAGAAAGGGATCTGAGGATGAGGACAAGGGGAGAGGACACAGAAGACACTGCATCACTGGCTTTAAAGGCTGAGGGCGAAGGATGCGGCTATGCACCCAGGAGAGCAGGTAGCCTCCAGAAACAGCAAAAAGTAAAGCAATAGACGCTCCCTCCCGCAGCCCCTGCCCAGACCCTGAGCTCGAGGTTCTGAACTCCAAAATCATAATAATACATTTGTGTCATTTAAACCACTAAGTGTATGGTAATTTGAATCAACGGCGATCATTTCAGCTCATCTTTCACAGCGGAGAGTCAGCAAATAGGTAGGCACTGAGATAGAGAGGCCAAGAAATGCGCAGAGCTGCCTACGGGAGGCCTAGGAACGGCTGCTCCTAGAGAGCAGGGTGGGGCAAGCCTTTGCTTCTCCCTCTATACGCTACTTTACTGTTTGAATTTGCAAAACGGTGTGTTCTAAAACCCTTCTATCTGACAAGAATAAAGAACAATAGCCTAGCCGAGGCTTTGTGTTTCTTCCCAGGGAAAGACACACCCCCTCGGTAGAGGCAAGGGCACAGAAGCCGCCCCAGCCATCCAAACGCTCACCTTGTACACGAGGCACGAGCTTAGTGGCCACCCCAGTGGTGCGGGGCTCCCCACCCAAGAAGAGTGGCAGTGAAACCGGAGGGCTGATCCACGCCTGCACACCCGCACCTAGTCCGCATCCCCCCAAGTGGTGGATGGAGCAAGTTGTTTTTTTTTTTCCACCAGGGATCGAACTCAGTCCGCACCCTCTGCTCCCAAGGGCCACCCCAACACCCTCCGAGCGCGACAGCGACATAAGGACACCCGGGTGCGGGGCGTCGAGCACAGGACACCGAGCGGGAGCTGGCGCCTCCCTAGGAGAGCTGTCAGATACCCACTAGCCAGCTGTGGGCCCCTAAGCAGTCACACTCCCTCTTCCCCAGCAGTCAAATGGGGATAAACCAGGTTCCTTCCCCTCTTGGGCTCCGGATCTGCCCCGAGTCCACAAAGCGAAAAACCTAATTTTCTCCGGCCACCTTTTCCCTCGGCGACAACTTCCAGCCGGTCGCACGGCCCTTCACTCACCCCATTCGGGAGGTTCTTCACGATCAGTCGCGACATGGCGCAAGGTCCCCACCGCTTTTTATCCCAGCTCCACCAGACCAAGTCTTTCTACTCCAACTTTCACGCAGCCACTCTGGGCGCCGCCATCTTTAGCAAGCCGGAAGAGTCACGTGGCCCTGCCTTCGTCCCGCCCACCCGGAAGTAGGCGGGGCCAAAGCAGCAGTGAGAGGAAGTCACACCCTTGGAGGCGGGCCCGAGCGCCTGAGTTCTGCGCAGGCGCAGGTTCCTCGGCCGCTCTTAAAGACGCCAGTGCGGTGGCAAAGTCGACAGGGGGCGCCAGTTCCTAAAATCAGTGGGAAGTTCCTTGGATCCCAATGTTCAATGCTGAGGAAAAGGCATTTTTCTTTTTTTTTTAAATCCCGTTCCTATTTTATTTTGAATCCCAAAGCAGTCCTGACAGCGGAGACAAGAGAAGAGATATTTGTCCCCCTTTAGAGATAGGGAAACTGCAGCCTACAGCCTGCCAGGCTTGTAGGGAATCAATTACTGAGCATGCAGTGTAAATAGTAGCACGTGCATCGTGGAAATGAGCAGCCCCATTTTGCAGGTTGGCAAACTGAGCCCCAGGCGAGTTAAGAAACTTTATCAATGCCGTATAACTATTATACCGTCAGATTTGAGCTGGGGGCTGCTTGGGGCCCTATGCCATGGTACCACTGCCACCAGGTGAGCTCTAGCCCTGTAAACTTCATGTCTGTTCCTGCTGTGCTTTTAAAACCCATCGACTTAGCTAAGAATTCTTGGCTGAACTAACCTCTGTGCGTCCCTGTTCCTCGTTATGTTATGTGGGGGTGGTTCTGTACCATCAAGGACTTGGGGAGAGAATGCAGAGTCCTGGGGTACTAGTCTTCTGCTTCTCTTTAGAATTCTCTGTGTCCCTTATTAGATGGGGGAGAAAGAACCAGAAAAACCCAGCTGTCCCATGACAATACTTCCGGTTTCCTAGAGCCTGCAGGCTACAGTGGACCCCCTCGCCAAGCTTCTAACAATTTTGTTCACCTCCAAGGCTCCTTCCCACCACACTATCCTTGGTCGTTGGTGAGGTGTAATTCACACACCATGAAATTCTCCCCTGAAAGTGTAAAGTTCCAGGGTCTTCAGTCCGTTTGCTGAGGCTCGCAGCCATCACCAGGATCAACCTTAGAATGTTTTCATCACCCCTAAGAGAAAGCCTGCAGGTTTAGCTGTCCCCGGGCAATCCCCCCTCCCCCCAGCTGCTGGCAACTACACGTCTACTTTCTATTCCGAACTTTCAACCTTTTTATGTTTCTGTCACAACAGGCGGAACAACAAATGTGTCTCTCGCACCTGGCTTCTTGCACTTAGCACGGTGCTCACACCCGTGGGGCAGCACGAATTAGCTCTTTTTTATCCAATCATATTGATATAAGGGAATGAAACTCCCAACCTGGAAGATACCTGAGCTAGGCTCAAGGTCTCCAAAACTGAAGAATGAATTTTAGGAACAATGGAGATTAAGAGCAGAATACATTTATTGCGGGGAGTGGGGGGAGCTCCTCTCCAAGAGAGGGACAGAAGGGGACCCGAGTGGGTTGCCCTGGGAATCTGTCTTTCCTAGGGATTTTTATAGAACAAAATCATGAGGTGAGGTGGATCTAAGGTGGAAAACATTGAAACTCACACAAGAGGCGGGATGAAACTATGGTGAATCATGAGGGTACAAGAACAGTTGCTCAGGTGAAATCGATTAAATCAGGATCAAACGGGGCAGCGAGACACGCAGCAAGTGGGCATGAATATGGAACAGGATTCTCTTCTTGTTGGGGGTTGGGTCAGTGGCTCTTTCTAGGTGAGGGATAACCATTTAGAATATCAATCCCTGATGCCCTCCCTAGGGAAGTCCGTGGCTGCGTTTGCTTACTCTTTTATCTTGAAGTCTGGCCCACAGCAGAAGTGTCTGTCTCTTCCAAAGTTGCAAGGTATCTTGCCTTCCATACTGTCTCCTCGAGGGCCTAGCCCTGGCTGACTGCCTACAATATCGCTGTTTCATTTAGCTGCCTACAACAATATTGCATATACGGATACAGTACATTCTAGTCATCCTCTGGACATTTGGGTTTGTTCTGCTTTGTGACTAGGACGAATAACGTTGCTATGAATGTCTGTGTATGAGTTTTTGTGTGACATTTTTATTAGGATTTTTTTTTTTTTTTTGTATTTTAGGGAAGAGTCTACAGGGTGTTCAGGGTTTCACTACTAGATCAGACTTGTAGTGATCCGCCTATTTACAGCCTCCCAAGAGTGGGATTACAGGTGCGGGCCACCAGGCCCAGTCTCAGCTGCTGTCTCAGCATGCCCCAAGGGTGGGGCCAGCACAGCAAGCCCAGGGATTGAGTCCCTGGCCCCTGCTCCTGCTTCCAGGCACTTTAATCCACTGAGCTATTTGACCGGCCAGAATTTTTTTTTTTGGGACTCACTGTGTAGTTCAGGCTGGTCTTGGACACACAGTGATCCTCTTGCCTTAGCCTCCTGAGTGCTGGGAAGACAGGCGTGCACTATGGCATCCAGTTTAGAACCTCTTAAATGATAGCCCTCCTGGAGGGTGCGAAGGGGAACCCCATTGTGGTTTTCATTGGCGTTTCCCTATTGGCTAATGAAATTGAGACTATTTTCTTTCTTTTGGCCACTCCTGTATCTTTATTTTTCTGAAGCCTCCTCGGCTCCTAGTTCCCAAGACCAGGCCCAACAGTGCCCTGAAGGCCATCGGCTCCTCCCTGATCCCCGGATGCGGGGAGCGCACGCACTGGCCCCTGCGCGAGGCTGCAGAAACTGCTGCAGGGCACCTGGTCGGCTGATTCCGAGCTATGGGCGGTGGCCTGCTCTCTCCACCTTAAGTGGCCCCGGGTCTGCGCAGGTCCACCCTGGCAAAGCCTCACCCTAGGCACCAGGAGGGGCAGAGCCATCGGGGCGCATCCGTGCCATTATCAGTGAGGCTGTGTGGACTCGAAAAGAGCTGGTGGCTGCGACGACGGGCCCATCAGCAGGAAGCAAGACCTCCGTGGTGCCAGTCCAAGAGAAGTGGCGTGGTTGTGTTTGGTTGCCCACCCAAGGCCTTAGGCGGGCGGTCGCCGGGGTGGGGCCGGCTTTTCAGAGGTGGCTGAATCTAGGGTTTGTGATGTACTCAGGGAGGAGGCTGGGAGTGTTGGGTTACAGCCCGCCCTAATGATCCCTTTTTACTTCTGTCAGGTTTTACTGGCGGCAATGGCGGGCAGCTGTGGCGGCACAGCAGAGAAGCAGAAATAGAAAGGGGGCTTTATTACTTCTGAAGACAGAGAGGGTCAAGGACAGGGAGATGGGGGACCCTCTGACCTGAGACAGGGAGGCTGAGATGTTGTGGAGTTTTGTTAGGCGCAGAGTTTGACGGCCAGGTTTAGTGACACCTAAGGAGGTAGTTGGGATCTTCCTTGTGGTGCAGGAAAGGTGAAATCGGATCTATGATTGGCATGGGGAAGGAGGAGGAAGTGGTATCGGGAAGATCAGCTGTTGGGTTTTTTGTTTTTTTTTTTTTTGTATTTTTAAGAAAGGGTCTACCGGGTGTTCAGTCTAGATCAGACTTGTAGTGATCCGCCTGTTTACAGCCTCCCAAGAGCTGGGATTACAGGCGAGCGCCACCACGCCCAGTCTCAATCATCATCTCAGCATGCCCCAGGGGTGGGGATGGCGAGGCAGGCCTGGGGATTGAACCCCCGGCCCCTGCGCCTGCTTGCAGGTGCTTTAATTTTCAGAGCTATTTGGCCGGCCTGATAAACTGTTGTTTTGGGGATTGAGCCACGTTAGATGACCACCATGATAACTCAGCGCTTTCTACTGAGGCAGGAACCATTGGTTTCCTAGGGCTACAGTAACAAAACGTTAGAAACAGGATGACTTGAAACAATAGAAATGTATTCTCTGTGGTTTGTGTGTAATTGTTCCCCCAAAGCTTTATGCAGTCATGGAGTGGGGGCTTCTAGAGTTTGAGGTGAACTCACGATCCACTGGGATTATGGGTTTTAGTCCCACTGGGATTACGGGTGTGAGTACTTCCTCCACCCGGTGTGGATCACCTGAATGTTACATGAGAGAGACAGAGAGACAGACCTCCTCTTTCTGTTGTTACTGTTGCTGCCACTTCACCATTTTGCTCTCTTGCTCTTTGCTGCTCCATGAGAGGATGCTCTCTGCCCTGTGCCGCTCTGCCTTGGAGCCAGCCAAGTATGGACTGAAACCTCCAGTAACTGTGAGCTAAATAAGCCTTTCTTTCCTTCACTTTGCATGTCAGGTATTTGTCCCAAAAATGAGAGAAGAGTAACTGAGACACTGAACAACAAGTTTAATGGAACCATTGTTAATTAGCTCTTCCTGTTTTGAAAATCTGTAACATATGTATTGTTGTATGTTACCCTGTTTCTGTCCTTTTTTCTGTTTTTGCTTCTGTCTTTACTCTTCAAAATAAACTTAAATCAATTTTTAAGAAAAAAAAAAAAGAAATGTATTCTCCAATAGTCCTGGAGGCCAGAAATCCAAAATCCGGGTGTAGGCAGCACCCCCGACCCCAAACTCCATGGGGACCCTCCTCCTCCTCTGCTCTGGGGACTCCAGGTGCTGGCTAGGCCAGAGCGTGGCTTGCTCCGGCTCCCCTGTCTCCTTCACAGGGCCTCTTCCCTTGTAGTGTCTGAGTCAAAATGTCCCTCTCCTTTCTCTTACTGGGTGTAGGATTTTCCCTAAATCCGGAGTGATACGGTCTCACGAATCGGTCATTACACCCCCAAGGCTCTTTGCCCACATGGTGGTCCCGTGGGTGGGGATTACGGTTGGGCACCTCGTCTGGAAACCATTTACCTCCCACACTGATCTGCTTGTTCTGCTCTGGGTCACTCTGAGGACCCCATTTCACCCTGTCTGTGTCTTCCACAGATTGTTTATTACACACACACACACACACACACACACACACACACACACCCTAACTATGGCTGACAACAATGGCTTGAAACAATACCTATGGCTTGAAACAATATGTTTCAAAATAGCCAACAGTGAAGAACTTCGAATATCCTCAATGAGCCGAGGAGCCTTTTTGCTCAATTC